TGGATTATGTCTTCAATACAAAACAACTGCAAGAAAATCTGAAGTCCTTAAACTTAGGGAAAGAGCAATGCAGCACCAATAAACTAGTAGTTAACTTTGAAAGTTATCCAATAGAAGATTGAAAAAAGATTTAGATTGTACACACGAGCTTGAGATTCTGAATGATTTGAGAGAATCATGGCAATCCTACATGTCTGCTTTCGTTACTACCAGAGAAAAACATCGTCACCTTTCAAAATCAGGAGTGGTCACATTTCTTTGGATAGTAGCATATTTTAAAGCGAAAGCAAAGTCTTGGGAACAAATAGTGCTAATGCTTTCAAAAGTTATCGAAAACTCCTACTTTGTACAAGTATTGGAAAGGAACCGGCAAATTCAAAACTGCAGAGGGCGAAAAAGAGAAAACAGTACGTTTGGGAAGGATTTCTGGAAGGTGTAAAAAAAGATAACGATGAAAAAGCGACTTATAAATTCAACGTAGCTAAGATACCGCAAAATAAGTACCCACACAATAAAAGTGAATATGTTTTTTGACTGACTTATGAGATTGTTGCAGATTTCTTCAACTTACCAAAAGTTCAAAAGATTAGGACTCCTTCCAAGAAAGTCAATTTCTAGAGAAAAGCAGGCCAAAGTTAAATTTTAATTTTTGGTTTCTTTTAAAAAAAAATCGTTCTCACCTTAAGACTCCTCCTCAGACAATCTTCATTCAGCCACACCCCTTCTCGTGTTGCATTCGAGACTAATGTAGACAATGACATTGTAATCTGCATCTTAACTCTAGCTAAACTGCTTCCATTTTCATAGCTTTCGCGCATCAGCAAATACAAACTAGCAGCAGCCTAAAATTTCAGGAAATTAGTTTACCAAGAAGAAGCAAAAGCTAGAAACCATGTTTGTCTTCAGCAGAATAGTACCTGTGATCGAACTGCTGGTAGTCTTGAGGCACAATGTCGTAACAGTTGCAAGCATAATTCACCGCATTGTTCGGCTTCCTGAAATTGACCACATCAGGGTAGAGCCATGGAAGACGAGTATTATAATTAACCTGTTCAAATATTACATCGGAGAATTTCTTCACTAGCGTTCGTTGACTTACGAATATACATTCGAGCGCTTGCACGGATTGATTGCATGCAAACATGTGCATCTGAAAAAAAGAGGTTTCGAGAGAGACACTGGAAGGCAATGGAGAGAAAAACCCTTACCATGACTCTCAACACCATTGGAAGGGCAAAGTGCAAATGATCGCTGCCAGGCATAGAAATCACTCGGATGATCGTTTCAAGGGTATCTAGCACGCAAAGCACCACTTCTGTGCAAAGTGCAGCTTCCAGAAGAGCTTCATCTTCGAATACTGGAAGGAAAA